GTTATATATATATATATAATTATATTAAAAGCCCTACAGTGAAAAGCGGAGAAAAATAGTGGGTGAGGGACCTAGTGCTGGCCTGTCTAGCATTCTGAGGTGCCTACACCTCCAACCGCCCAATCAGACAATCTGGAAAGGAACTGACAGCACGAACGCCACTGGCATCGATTAGCCGCCATTTCTTGCAACATTTTAATTATGTTTTGACCGTATCAGATACTTCGCCGGCAGTTATCGTCATCCGTTGAGCGAAAGTTTTCAACCCACCATAATACGGGGGAGGCCAGTAAGTATTCCTTCATGCTGCCTCCCCACTCGTATCACAGAGGACAACACGGCGCTAACTCTAGACCAACAAGTATTACTGTTAATCCTAGTACTTTCTGCTCTGGCTTCTTTATTTTGACCTTCCCGGCATGATTGCACCTTGTGAAATGAATTTACAGCCAGCTGTGCAACGGGGGCTCACTGGCGCACTCAGACCCGACTGCCACGTCAAGGTGGTAGACTTTCTTCGTTCTGATGTGATTTGCATCTTTCAGTCTCCACAATCCTTGTCAAATCGGATAACAGACATCTCTCGTCGATATTTTGCCTCACCTTTGTGTCAACTTATGTTGTGCTGAATTCCAGTAACTGGTCGTCTTTGCGCTCCATTATTGTCTGTTTTAACTAGAGTGAGTGCAGAGTAAATGTGGTAAACAGTGTTTATTTGTCGTAGCAGCATATGCTCCGATTGACTGCAGCTCTGCACTTGAGGAAGGTTTTCTTATCGAGATCTATCAGGAGTGTTTCGGTCAGCAAGACGAACAGATGTCACCCTGGCGGGTGACGTGAACGCACAGGTTGGAATACCAAGCCCGGAATAAGTGTAGCTGTGTGGTAGATCCGGAATCGGCACTCAAGGTGCAGGTACCGGGGAGCGTGCTGAATGTTGTCTTTTTCTTACCAGCATGAACTTTGAGCACAAGCGGTCGCGTCAAATCACTTGAAGGTAACCGACTGCAAACCAGCCTAGATATCATCCCTCCAATCCGACAGTTAAGTCGGGCCTGCACTTTCCAAAGGTAGCGAAATCATGGTGTAGAGTCTGTGTGGGTCTGACCAAATTTGAAACGGAGGCAGTAGCAGTGGAATGGAATGCTTCCATAGTAATTCCGGCCCTCTAGCAAGACGGAAGAACGGCATGCCAAAGCCGCCGTGGCATCAACCTGGGAGCTGTTAAATCCAAGCTGCTTACTGACATTTTGCGAGGCCGCTTGACTACCAGGCGAGACAAATTTGTGAGAATCTAGATGGGTTTCGCCCTGGCCGAGCATGCACTAACCATATCTTTATTTTGAGACGAGCTCTCGAGCAGTGCCGCTCTGTTCGAACGTCCGATGATGTTTTTTCTTGTCTCCATCTACAGGACCTATCGCGGTGCCTGGTAATCCAAGGTGTCCATCCTAAATTTTCAACCCTCATAGAACCACTCTATACTGACTCACTTGGCTTCCGGATGACTGTGTTCCGAAACAGGATTAGTCAGCCCCAGAATTGTTTAAGACACGCTACCCAGACATTGCGGTGAAACGCCAGATCACAAATCGTGACCCTTTATTGGGCCCATTGGCGAACTCCGTAGGCCGCATGCAGACCGAGCTACTTCATGTCTGTCTTGACCAGTCACGTTTTCAATAGTCCCCAGAGGCGACAACGCTATCTTCGACTTGGTATGCAGAACAAGGGTCGTTTTGCAACAGACGCCCAGATCATTGCACTAAATGGGGTTGAGGTGAGCGTTTTAGGTCATGAAAACGTCTTCGGATCTCATCAGTGGATACCTCTAGATGGGGAACTCTCACCATACTTCGGAGGAACCAGGGGTCTAAAACACTTAGGTTTTGATACTAACGGGGACCAGACTGGCGACTGTGTTAAATACCCGGATTTTTGTTTCTAAACCACCTTCGGTTATTTTGAACAGAACGGAATTTGTCTGTATAAAGACTTGCCGGGAACCGTCTATTTGACGTTAAAATTCGTCTTTAGCCCTTCTTGGTGGTGGAAGCAAGGTATTCGAAATGGGCACCCTGATGGATTACTTCGCCTGTTATTTTGAGTTGCTGGATAGGCATGTCCATGCAAGAATACAAGAATAGGTGAAAACTTATTGCCTGGGTAGTCTTATGATTGGTAGCAGACTCGTTCATTCATCGAATCGGGAAGGCAGGAGCAGTTTTTCTAGCCTTCGACATATAACGCCGGCGTGATAACAGTTTCTCTATCAATGACAGACAATGTACTGCAACGATGGGACCAGTAACGTAGTCTCTACGCACAGAGGATGCACGAAAAACTGTTTGACTACCACTGTCTTCGAAGCGTTGTCGGGGTCTGGTGGAAATATCGGACTGACAACCATGAAGTACGCCAGCCGATTTCATAATAAAGGGACTCTCACGCTTCCTGTTTACGCCGTTTCGAACGTGTACTTTGTGTGTTAGAGGACCATCCTAACCTGAATAGCTCTTTTTCATTGCCTTGCACTAAATGGAAACGGTCGAGAGACAACGAACTGTGTAGGCACTTACCAGTAAACTCAGTCGATCCGACTACTGCCGCCTTGGAACTTCAGCAGTCATCTCATTGGTGGTTTGTGATACCGGTCACGCAGTCAGTGATGCTCTTGGATCAAAACCGTCGTCTTTAGTGCGAAGCTGTTTTGAGGCAACTAAGATGATTCGACCAACAGAATAATTATGCCATCGTCTACGATGACCGGCTATCTTTCCTGTTCTTCTATACTAGATAAGAAAGATTCTAGCAATTGGAATCAAAAAATGGTCCAACTGTATTGCTCCTTCGGTTCGTCTCTACCATGCCCTTCGAAGAAAGCATAACGGCTGAGATAAAACGGCGGTCAAGATGCAAAGTTTAGGATCGAACCGCGGACCTTCTGGTTATTAAGCTCTTGTCTCAACCACTCAGCCACTTCGAGCTCAGTTGTACCCAACGTACACTTCTATGGATAAAAGGAACAGAACCTCGTGCCTTCTTGTGTTTACATGGCAGCTTGGCACTGAAAACGCCTTGCAGCTGAACTTCCGAACATGTTACGCTAAAAGTGAGATAAAAATTACATTGTATGGCCTTATGTGTCAACTGTAAACTGCTTGTACCGCTGTCGCAAAGACAAGCCTTGTGGTACGAGTCCAGGTTTATTTGCTGAGGTGCGCACCATCTGAATTGGGTGAATTGATGCCCCGACCTCAAAAAATTAAAAAAAAAAACTAAAATGGGAGGAGGATACGGGTAACTAGGGATGCATAGCCGAAGGTCGTCTGGCCATATGGCGTCTTCCGACTGAGTGTCGGCCATGAACCCAAAGTAATCTCATCGCCGCTAGTTGCCGATTGATGCATCAATATCTCACTGCGGCTAATGTTGAAACACATTTGTGGATTCGGGATACGTATTCCTGCCTGCTTGTTGGCAGTCCTTGTGCCTGTCTGCAAGTTTTTTCTGCTCAACATAGGGAGCAAAACCGTTCCCGATGACCAGGGTATTTCTGTACTGTTGCCGATAATCAAAAAGGGTTGCTGAGCTGTTTGTGAGCACTACTACAATTGCCTGATATATATACCACAGCCAAAATCTTTGCCGTGCTGCGCCGCTCTAGAATAGTGGAAGAGTCTCACATACCAGATCAAGGAGGCTTTCTTGCACGGAGAAGTTGCCGTGTTTTGGATCACCACTACAAGTTCCACCAACCAACCATCGTTTATTATTGACATCCGTGAAACATTTGATTCAGTCAATAGCGATTGCTTGTTGTCTAAAAAGCTGATGGCGTGCCAGGTGAAGTGTTGAATCTCATCAGAGCGTACTTAGGTACAAATGCATGCATCTAAGTATATATGAGGGAGAAATCACGGTGTTTGCTTTACACTTCATCCTTCGTTCAGGCAACCCACTTTCGCCGGTGCTTTTCAATATTGCGAGATGGCTCAGTGGTTAGAGCGCGAATTTACCAACCGCAGATCCGTGGTTCGAACCCGACCTCTGCCTCTTGATTACACTGTTGATACTGTCATCTTGCCCGACCTAAAGCTGCCACCTTGACGATGCGGTCGGGGGTAAAGTCAGTGTGGAGTGTGAAGGCGGTAAGGTGTTTCCCCCAGGCGACCAGCATGTCCATATTTATGGAAGCAGGGGTGGTGCCTTCCCCCGAGGAAGAACAGGTTAGAAAAGGTCGGCCCCAAAAACTGCACCCTCCGATCGCCCAACGGTTGACCGTGACCGCCGGCGCATTATCCAATACGGTCGAAATACTTTTAAAACCAAAGAGCCCGGTGCTGCTCAAAAGGCACCTGCTGTGCGCAGCCGCATCAGGAATGAAACATTAATGCCTTATTCCCTGCGCCCTCGGGTTAGGCCGACCCCCTGCAGCCGAGCAGGTCAGACTTTTGAGTCAGAGGCTAGGGTCAGGGTCCCCGAACAAAACCCTACGTC